TTAGATGACCTTCACTGGGTGGGGAACGTGGTCACTTTCTTCCAAACTCAAGTCCAATATCATAGAGCAATGGAAAATGCATTTACATTAAGTTGGTTTAATCTATTTCTGGGTATTGCAACATAAAGAAGAGAGCACAGAGAAGGGAAGTCACTGCAGCCCCTGGAGGAGCAGCTGAGGCATAGGCTGGGGTGTGGGGGGCACCTTCCAGTCCCTCTCATCTCAGCTCTAGTGGCTTGCCCCATCCCCAAAGGGACTCTGCAACTTCCCCTTACAACTTTCCATGTGAGTGTTCTGTTGTTTTTATGCTATTTGCATAAAATTACCTGTGAAATAGTTCAGGAATAGACCAAAATATTCTGAAGATTTGTAAAATAATGACCTAGAAATACCATTTAAGATTAAGACAAGCTCCTTTCAAGTTTTGATTCCTCGAAAAAGGCAGAGAATAGGAACACACTGCTAAACATGGTTAAATGAGTTGACAAATGGTGAAACAAAACAAAAGCAGTTTTGGCCGCTTTCCTAATTGCTATCTGTTTTTTTGTGATGCTGGGGACAGAACTCAGGGTCTCACATGCTCAGCAAGTGCTGTACCATGGAGCTGTGCCCTCAGCCCCTTAATTATCATTCTTTCAGTTCTTTTTACTATAAGTTGCATTTCCAAGCCTGGCTAGGCAAAGTTCACTCCACAAACATACTGTTCATATGTCTCTTTTTTTTGGCTATACTGGAGTTTGAACTCAAAGCCCCTAGCTTGCTAGGCAAGTGCTCCACCACTAGAGCCACATGCCCAGTCCTGATATCCCTGACTTTCTATGCAAGAAGATTTATTCAGCACGTCACATGGGTGTGCTCCCCAGGTGTGTTATCATCAGGGACAGGATGAATGGCATCCACTCTCTCACCTGGTGATCCAGGAGAACACTGGGGACATTGGACTAGTCATGAATCTCAAGCTAACTTGTCTCCATGATAGATACTAGAGCCTTCCTGAAGACAGTGGCCCTGATTTCCTCCAATTAATAGCTTTCTCTTTTATTTAAACTAATGCCATCTAAAACTACCAGCATCACAAGCTATGGCAAATTGTGTCATCTCATTCTCCAAAGACAAGCCGAGGATGCTGCATTTTGATGCACGTAAGACAGGCTGTTTTCCAAATTTCTGAGAGTGACCTTCAGAAGCCACAAAGGGAGTCACCTTACTATATCATAAGGATGACAGCAATACCATCTCTGGGACAGTCATAGAGATGGGTTTTTCACTGGGTGCAAGTCATGGTGTGCGAGGTTTGCAGGACAGCTGGTAGGTGCCCAGTTTCTTGCTTCTCTGAATGGTTCCACCTTGGAAACCTTCGTGTCTTCCTGCTTGAAAGCAGGTCTGGGGGATTTAAAGCCAATGACTGTGGACCATATCTCAGAGTTAGGCAAAGGCTGAGTGCCTGGCTAGAAGGTGCCAATAAAAAAAATCAATTTCTGCCATTTTTGTGCCTTGCTCTGCAAAAGTCATGACTTGAACTGCAAAACTGAAAGGAGAAGCACAGCCCAGCTGGTGGCTTTACCTGCCGAGGCTCAGATGTGATAGCAAGGTCTGAAGATCAGAACAAATTTGTAAAGGACTAAATGCTACATCCCTCAGATCTTAGCAGATTTTACTGGAATATTCACTTTATCCCTTATATTTTTTAGTCATTTGATTAGTCAGACTATTAAAAAGATACCTGGTTATGCAGGGCAAGTCATGACTACAATTTCTACTTGTAAAACATTCAATTTGTAAGAAATGTGGATTAAGGTAAATGAAAATATCATTTGCTTAAAAAAAATAAAACCTGAGAGCTGATGAAATATCTAGAAAGAGTTAAAAGACTAGGAATATAGCGATACTGTCAGTTTGGTGAAACCGAACACAGTCTTACTGCAAAGATAACACTTTCTATACAATTGCTTTTTCAAGTACAGCTTTGTTTTAACAGTTTCAGAAAAAGAATCTGTCTCCCAGCTGTGATTGGCAGATATGTTTCTGAATTAAAATAAACAAATGAACAAGATGATAGACATGTCCACCAGAGAACCTTTCTGGCAAGGGAGGAGTGTGGTTTTCTTGCCAGGTCTGCTCTCTGAAATTCCAGAGCAAGACAGGGGCTGCTGAGGAAGCACTGCTCGCTCCACCTCCCAGGGAACCCCTGGATTTGCAAGCACCTTTAAGCAACCAAGCCTCATCAGCAGATCAACGAAGACCTGAAGACCCAGCAGGCTTGGTCTTAAAAGAATGCTATCTAAAAAGGAATTCTCCTGGCCAGTGGATCAGTCTTGCCATTTCTATGCTGAGATAAGAGAGAAGAAACGATGCCAGTAGGCACTGTTCTTTCAGCATCCACAAAACCCAGACATTCTAGACTGCAAATCTCACAGTCTACATGCAGCAGGAAGCATTCGGACCCTTCAAAAAGAAAATGAGTTCCTCTGCTTATTTTGGCTGTGTATCCCAATTCCTTTCAGCCTCAAGACCAGATCTTCACAAGTAGAAAGTATTTCCTTGAGATTAATCTAGGAGATTCACCCAAACCTTGTTTCTACTCAGCTACTTGGTGGGCTGGATGGCTAAGAGAATGAAAATAACATATAAATCAGTCAAAAACAAATTTAGCTGAGAAGGAAAACAGCCTGTTAATATGATATTTATATTGTTACAATTATCGATACACCAATACAAATATTGTTAATATGATATTTAGGGTTTTCAAAGTTGGGAATAAGAACTGTTTAGAACAGCTTGTTGTCATCTTTAAATACTGGGGTTAGAACTGGTGGAGTGGTTCAAGTTGTAGAGTGCCTGCCTAGCAAGTGTGAGGCCCTGAGTTCAAACCCCAGTGCTGCCAAAAAACAAATGAGATTAATAATATGCAATTCTTGGATATTTAAACAAATTTCATATGGGAAAAGTGTATCATAAGTCTAAATATGAAAGAGGGTTCCAATCGGGAAGGGAACGTGATTTCAGAATTAATACATGAACTTGTGCCGTGTTCTCTCCACCAGAGGTGTGACCTTTAATTTGAACCTGGGCCTTTCCCTTCATCCCCGTAGGGTTTCCTAGTCTACGGGACACAGAGTCTGTCCTTGTTTGATGGACGCTTTTGTAATTCACCCATGCTGATCTGCTCTAAGTGGCACTACAGTGCTTCTTTCACTGAATGGGTGAACCTCAAGCATGCTGGTCAACTGAAGTTTCTATAATTCTAGGAGGAACTTGACTTTGGAATTGCTCTGCAATCTTTGGAACCTTAGAACAACATAAGAAGGCAAGCAGCAATTTTTTAAGAAGCTGAAGTAAGCAAGCCTGGTACTAGATGCTTTTCATTTGACATTTCACTTAGTGTTTTTAACAGTTTTGTGCCTTTTTTCGCTTGGTATTGAGGATTGAACCCAGGGTCTCATGGATGCTAAGCACATACTCTACCACTGGGGTACACCTCAACCCTATTAATTCCATTTTGTAGAAGAAAAAATAAACAGTGGTCTCAAACATCACACAGTCAGTCAACAATTATGCCCCATCCTCCCATCACTGTGAGGATCACTGAAAAACACCTTGCCTTTGTAAATAATGATAATGAAAACCCCTGAGCTTGCAAGATCTCAGATAATGGGTTTACTTCCATCAAACTTAGACAGTTTTAAGTCATGATTATTTAAGCAAAATATTTTCAAAACTGTAAACACAATAAAATTCAAATGTAAAAGCAGATATATATTCAAAATTTAAATCCCATCTTAAAATTGTAAAGTCAACAAAAAGAAAAGGCACTTTCACAACTTTTCCATTTTTAGAGCTTACAGACTTGAATGAAAGATGTGGCTAGTCGCTTCTTTGTATTAATTATGTTTTGCACTTTGTAACTTTTTTTTGCCTTAAACACAGCAGAATACTCGTATGCAACTTGACTGCATATCTTTAATCCATAAAGTTGTAGGCAATATCATTTCTTGTTTGCAAACATTTATTGAATTGTATCTTATTTTTCTATTTTGTTTTTTAGTAAGCATACAAGGCAACTATCTGCTTATTTATGAAGCACATAAAAATCATCTGCCATGGCAGAATTTTTTTCCTCTGGTGACTAGGCGAACATTATTAATGTCAATGATTTCAAGTCATTTTAGTTTTACAAGTTTAATTTCTCACCAAAACTTATCACTGAAAACTACTGGTGGTTGTGTCCTGGGTCAAACGTTAAGGTATTTCTGAATAACTTTTTTTCTTCATCCATTTGAACTTTCCATTTTAAAAATCAAAGCTCTGATTGTCATGAGGACACAGCAGGATTCTGGAGCAGGACAGGTGACGATGTGACCGGGCATCTGACCTGCTCCCACACACAGCATGAGCCCTAACACACTCATCCAACAGTTGCTCCTCTGACTTTTCCATAGCTAAAACCTTATGGTTTGCTCATTATTTATACCAACTTTTCAATTCTCATCATTTTCTAAATGTGTATTTTTCCTCCAGCATACTTTAAAGTAACTTGACCAAGGTAATTACACCCAGAGGGGTAAGGTACGTGGGCTGGAAAACTTCCCTTCATGGGGAATGAGTAATTTTTTTCTACAAAAACTACCAGATGTTACTTCTTTGCTAAATATTTTGCAATAACTAAGGTCCCCAGATCAAGTGGTCATTATACTGCGGTGACTATAGCCTCAACCACCTGAGCTAGTGCAAAGCAGAACTTTGGGAACGAGGAAGTGCAGTGGGGCAGGTTCTGGTCCTTACCTTGTGGGGACCTCATGATGGACAGAATCAAGTCCCCTATACCGTCTGTGCTTCTCCATGGTGAATGTGTCTGCTCAGAGGGACCACAAGGGTGACTCTACAAAGTGCCTCTGTGTGCAGTGCAGTCAGTCATATGGTGCTCTGCACATTTAGCCTTTAGACCACAGTTCTGCCATCTATTAGGGACCAGGCCCTAGGATTCAAGGAAGGAGACTTACCAATTCTTCACTTCCACACTCCGAGTTATAGTGTGCTGCTTCTTCTGTCTCAGGTTTCTGAACAATGTTTCTGCAGATGAGCCAGATGGTCAGGCTCGAAATGAACACCCCGATGTCAGGTGCAAACACTCGGATCCCATTGCCAGCATCAGCTCCCTTCAAACTACAGAGGGAAGAGGTGAGGAAATGTCAGTGTTCTTAGATTTGTATGGTTAACCACTTTAGAGTACCTTTCAGAATGCTTAATGATTTAAAATAGAACTCACTCCTTTTCTGCCTAGAAGGTACCAGAAAGCTTCATGCTGACCTCAGAGTCTTATGAAGTTTACTAAGATTAAGGAACATGCCAGCATTTTCCAGGAGTTTCCAAAATACAAAGAACTTTTAGTCAATGATCACTTCTTAAACATGCTAACTGTACTGTTGCTACACAGAACACTTTCCAGTTGGAACACAGTTGTTTGCAATGTAGCTGAAATCATTAAAAACTAAACCTATGTTAGCAGCTAGAAGATATTTTATCATAAATGTAAATCAAAGCTAGCAGGTAAAAGAAAGAAAGCATTAAAGCAACTTCAAGTCTGGAGCTTCTCCATTATTTTGTGTTCTTCATTAATTTTATCTCCATACTATTTCAAAAAGGGTAGATCTAGTATGCATGGTTGGCCAGTACACATGGCCTCAAAAGAAATTGTGTTCTAGAAGTTCACTATGCAGTGAGTGTAAAACAACAGAACTTTACGGCCACTAGCCATTCACACAGTGGCACAGCCTTGTCACTCCCAGTGATGCTGCATGATGGCCCAGAGTGCCCTGCTATCTGTACACTAGGACCATGCACTTAAGACTGTCATCAGAAGCCACATGGAGGGCACTTCCAGACATGTTCTCTGCTCACCTGGGTACTAAGGAATAAACTCTGGCAAGAAAAAGCTGATGAAGAGAGCATGGATATGAAGGCAGCATCATGGAGACTTAGTTTTTCACAATGAGCTCAGAGTGGGGGAGCCAGGCGGAGGAGCCTAGGGTCTGCACCAGCACTGAAACTCCTGGAGACATGAGGGGCTCCGTGGAACCACTAAGAGTGGAACTTCCAAGGACACCAAGTCTTTGAGGAAATGTTTATCATAGGTAAAACCTGGCCTTGGACATGAAACAAGACAGGGACACGTATCCTGTAAAGATAATATACATACATACACAGTCATCCCTCAGTAGCCACAAAATAGTGATTACAGTAACCATGTGGATACCAAAACCTGAGATGCCCGAGGCCCTTGTGCAAAATGGTGCAAGATTTGCATATAACCTACACACACCTTCCCATGTACTTTGAATCACCTCTAGATGACTTACAACACCTAATACAAGGCAATGCTGCATCAGTAGTTGTTACACTACAGGGTTGGACACACTGACTACACAAAAAAGTCCCTACATGTTCAATATGTATGCGAGTATTTTCAGCCTGTTGTTAGTTGAATCTACAGATGAAGAACCTTCAGATACAGAGGGCTGACTGCATAAAAACTCACAGACACTTCACATGAAGCACACTGCATTCATTTATATCGGCTCCATTATATACACAAGAACATTTAAAATAATAACTAGCAAGACCCTCATCACCTGAAAGTAACCACTGCTAACATTTTGGTAAATTTGTAAATTTATAACTTACTAATAATATCTACCACTGTCTGAGCACTTCCTTTGCACTGATTATTTAATCCAACCAACACCAGCTGCAGTTAGGTGTGATTATCCCAGTTTGTGTATGAAAAAACCAAGGCTTCAAAAGCCAATGAGCTTCCCAAAAGTCACATGAGAGATGACAACAGAGCTGTTCCTCACTCCCTTTCTGTTCCAGTGTATCTGCTCCGTGACTGTGCTGGTGTGTGTATCCTCAGAACCTTCCCTGCTGCTCTTTGTACCACACCCTGTCATGCTTATAGCTAACAAAACTAATCTAATACTGCTTTGTTTGGTTTGCTTATTTTGTTTTTGAGACAGGGTCTCACCACGTAGCCCAGGTTGGCCTCCAACTCACCATCTGACTGCCTCAGCCTCTCAGGTGCAGGATTACAGTTGTACACCACTATGCCCCCTTACCTCGTTTTGAAACTGATGTGTTCATTTAATGTATTGCTAACGTTTTTGCAGTTCATTGGTGATTTTATACATCGTTGTGCTCATGGCCAGTAACTATTTAACTACTCCACTCCTGTATCATGTAGAATGTTTCCATTTCTTTTTTACTATAATATGGTATATAAAAGTCAATATCTAACTAACTAAAGGGTCTTCTAATCTAGGATCTTGTGAGGATCAATCCTCAGAGCAGTCTAACTTGCTTTTTAAAAAAAATGATGTGGAAGAGGCACCTCCCTGTGAAAGTTTCATTTGTATGAATGGCTCTCAACTTACCCCATAAATAAAACAAACACTATGTGTCAGAGCTTCTAAAAAAAGGCAAACTCCTTTCATTTAGGGCAAGAGCAAGAAAACTCAATTGACAGACTTCATCCAAACTAAACTTCTAACAATGAAATCTGATGCTTGACTTTAGGAATAGGGAAGGGCAGAGGTTCATTGCTGACCTTTAAAGGGTACCTAATATGATGGCCAAATGAACAAATGAACTAATACCATTACAAAGGGAAAGAAAAAGGTAATGGAGGAAAGAGACAAAACAGAGGCTCAAGCTGAGCCTGGGTGGCTGATATCCTCAGGTGCTGCTCGGGTGGACTTTCGGCAGTACATTATTGCAGCTCTTGCGTGGAAAACAAATGGCCCGTGATACTTTATGAAATGCACAAACCAAGCTGTGTTGGGGGAAAAGAGTTCTTAAATGAAGGTAGGAAGGGCCCCAGCTGTGACCTCAGCTGCTTCTTACACACAGCACCGAGGACAAAAGCCAGGCCAACTTTCCCACCTGTGGACTGCTTTAAGCTTCTGACTTGCAGTTGCTCTGAGGCAACAGTCTCAGCTTTTGCTTCTTGGTCCCCAAAGACGCATTTTCCTAGCGTGTATTAAGGAAATAAATGAATGTAGTTTGCAAAAGCAATCATTCCACCCGCTGTGATACAGTTCTGCTACTGGAACCAGGGCTGGGATATGATTACTGTATGGGACGGAATCATTCAGGTACACAGGTGCTATATTATACACTTGGCTTGCTACATTAACAAAGTTAGACAGTATGTACAATAAATAGTCCATTATCTACTTGATAGTCATTCAAAGGCCATCTTCTATATAAAGTTTTTTTCTTCATGGTTTAGAATCAAGTACATGCATCAGAAGGCTAATCTTCAGAAATTCTATGCTTTAAAACAAAGCAGGACAAAAGAAAACAAGTCTGGTCAAATAAGTGTTAGAAACTCATGATGCATATAATTATCCAAAAAGACTTGAAAAGTTCTGAAGTAAAGCAATTAATTTTAATTAATTTAAACTATGTTTCTCACATTAATTTGACCATAAAAGTACTTCTTAAAAATTTCATCTAGGGTTACCAGTGGCTCACGTCTGTAATTCCAGCTACTTGAGAGGCTGAGATTGGGAGGATTACAGTTTGAGATCACCCTAAGCAATACGTTCTCAAGACCCCATCTCCAAAATAACCAGAGTAAAACAGACTTCAAGTGTGGCTCAAGCAGTAGAATTCTTGCTTTTTGAGCATAAAGTCTTGAGTTCAAACCCCATTCTCACCAAAAAAAAAAAAAAAAAAATCATCTAACCTCTATTACATTTTACAGAGCTTGTGTCCATTGAATGAATTTTGGGACATGCTTAGTTGGAGAATGCTCATTGGTCAAGGACTATCATAAAAACTTATGCATGATTTAGAAACTCTATTAATGGGTAGCAATTCTTCATACATTTTGTTTTTAATAGGCCTCTAGTAATTTTAGAAGTCAGTGACATCTCTTTCTGTTGGCCAGATGGTCCATTCTTTCCCTGCATCACTCTTTGATATTCTGGAGCTGGAAGAGAGGGAGAAATAATCTACTCCATTTCCTTATCTCACAGCTATGGGAACCACCAAGTGAACAGATGAATTGATGGGTCCACTGCACAGTCCAGCACTGCCTGACAGCCAACTCAGGTGTTCTGACATCTCACTCACTCTTCCACGTCATCTCTTGAGCACAGTCAATGCTCCCTGCACCATGTTCTAACAGAGGTGACTTGTTAGGGGTCACCAGAATCCCAGACTGGCCAAAACAAGCCATTCTAATATGCATTTTGCTCTACCCTAAGCTGTATCTGCCTAGCAGGATCAAGCACTCTGGCTTCAAATATCCTCTCCCTTGCTTCTCTCTCCTCTCTTCTCTCCTTCTCTATCAAAGCACAAGATGATGCACACTGTGGGAAGTCCAGTAAGAAAGCTCTGGTTTCAACTGCTACCGGTGTCTTTAAACATATGTTGACTTTGGACCAAATTCCATTTGTGATAGTCACATACAGCAACAATAATATACATGATACACACAGAGAAAGGCCTGAATTAGGAAAGAATTCTGGAAAGAAATGTTAACACTTATTTAGAATCCTTTCCAGGATTCAAATAAAGGAATTCCAAAGTTAATGACACATTAAAAAAAAAAGGATGAGTTTGTTTTTGTGAAGTTAGAGACCTTTTCTACCATTAAAATAGCTATCAAGTGCTGATACCTAATTATTGAAAGCAGGAGAGGTTGGTGCTGGACTTTTAGGATTTTTTTTTAAGTTACTGGCTGGATTTGTGGAGCACTTTAAAGCTAAAAGACTGCTTAAATTTTAATCTCCTTGGCTCAGTGCAATGGTTCCATTTGCAACACACAACACTTTATTCACACACCAGTGTGTTGCTGGGTTTTCACCTGTGCTATTTGGGAGACTTGGTGTATGTTATGAAGTCAGAATCCTCCCTTGGAGGAAAGGCATTCACAGGAGTGGAGAGCAGGATGCGAGGCCGGGGGACTGAAGGATTTGTCCCCATGCATTTGCTCTTCAGACGTGCTGAGGCTGCCTGGCACCAGCTCTTCTCAACTCTGTGGTCACTGACAGTACTGTCCCTAGTTACCACAAGCTTCAAAGGGACCGCAGTGGGAGTATTACATCATGGACTGGCAATGCTGCAATGCTTTTACCCTAGAGAACTGGCTGAACATTTACCAATCCACCATTCCTGCAACAGAACTACTAACACAAACAAACCCGCAAAAACAACAAAATTCAAAAGCAATGGCAATAAAACCCATTCCTTATGCCTGTGACTCGCTTGGGCAGGATCCTAAAGCATCCTAAACCCAACAGTTTCAAAGCCAAGATCATCTATCTGGGGATCAGGGCCCCCAATACATGGCTTCTCCTACCTACTCCATCTACCTCCTGCTGCGTCTGAACTGGCACCTTCTCCAGGAGCCGCTCCATTCTCTGAATGATGGTCACCTCTTCTGCTGGTTCTGAGTTTCTCTCAGGTTGGGTTTTAGCCTCCTCTTTTACACTTATCCCAATGAAAGCTGACATGGACCTTGTCACACATGTTGACCATGGCATCCACACACTGCATTCACTGCTCTCTCATCCATTACTTTCTCCAAACATCTGAGAGCCACCAGGTGGTTGTGCTGATCTTGTCGCCATGATAAGACTCACTAAGGAAACCCATGGTAGTAGCTTCTCTTTACTTTGAAATCCCCTCAGAAATACTTTCTTTTTGCTTATCAAAATTAATAATCAAATTGCAGTGATCAAAACTGGAATAGGGTTCCCAATTTTTAAAATATCACTCACTATTACTATTTTGAAAATATTGTGTGGGAAATAACTAAATGGTATTTAGTAAGGACATTAAAATCCAATATATTGTTTTCATGTAATATATTACATTTGAATATATAAATTATAGGAAGCCTATATTAGCAGAAAAAGATGGCTCTTTTTGTTTATTTTTAATTGACAAAAAATTGAACGTATGTATAGTATTCAAAATGATGTTTTCGAAATTCTTATCCCCTGTGGAATGGCTATATCAAACTATTTGACATATACATTATTTTGTCACACTAATCTTTTATTTGTGTGGAAGACACTTAAAATTCACTTTCAGCACCATTCAAGTATACAAAACGTTGCTAACTATAGTTCAGATGATGGACAACAGATCTTGAACTCAGTTCTAAGTGAAATTCAGTACCCTCTTTAGCAAGTAGGCTAGGCAGTAGCTGGAATTAAGATAGTATAGCTAGGACAGAAGGGCCCCTGGAAACCTCCACTATGACCTCTCTGTGACCTTACAGGGTAGAAAGAAGGAAAAAACAGGGAAGACCAGAATAAGGACACTCTTAGGACTAGGGCACAATCAATCAGAAGATTGCAGATAAAGCCAATAGAAATGCTGCTTTCTGCACACCTAATTAGCATAGAGACTGAGCAACACTCTGGGGTAATTAGATGAAAACCCTAGATGGTGTCACTTCTCTGACAACCTTCTCTTGTTACCTTTCCCAGGTCTGGGGGCTCTACTCTTAGTTATTTTTCTGTCTTAATAAATTCTCCCACTTGCTCTCATTGTCTGTGATTTTCATTTTTCAAAATTGCGAGACTAAGACCCCAGGCTCAGACAGAGCAAGTCTGCTAACACTCTGACTGTCGTCTCCTCATCAAACAGCCTCCCTACCTTCCCAACCTCTGTAATCACCGTCCTGCTCTCTGTTTCTGTGAGCTAAGTTGTTTCATATTCCTCAGTGTAAATGAGAACATGCATTTGTCTTCCTGTGCCTGGCTTATTCATTTAGTATGACATTCTCCAATTCCATCCACATTGGTGCAAAAGACAGGCTTGCTTCATTTTTTCCTGAGTGCATCCCATCGTATATACATGATTTTTTCTTTATCCATCCACTATCAATAGCAGGACTTGGCTCCTGTCTAGGCTTCTGTGAATAGCGCTGCTGCAATGCAATTGTATTTCCTGTACTTTCTCTGAGTTTCTAAAGGATTTTCATTCTCCCAATAGGAATTCCAAGTCTGTTATGCATAGCAAAGTAGAAAACACTCCACCCTAACATTCACAAGCACCACCCCAGCAGGAGGCATCCTGATGAAAAGCAAAGCTTAGGTGGGCTTACATGGACATCACTGACAGCAGTCAGGAATCTCCATCCTTCAGCCACACTGGCTATAAGCACAATGTCCTGAGTTCCCTCCTGCTTGAATTGGTCATAGAATAGCCTGAGAAAAACAAACTCGATTAAGTTTGCTAAAGAGGAAATAAGGCACACAGTGGGTGGCTGCAGCAGGGTAACACATTTATCCTTGTCATAAACACTAGATCTGAATACAGCAAGAAGCTTTATCTGTCACTACTGGAAGATAACAAAGAATAAAGATATCAGAGTGAACTTTGGACTTCAAGACCTCCAACTGAACCCCATTCCTGCTGATGTAATTAAACAGATGTGTCTACCAGATCACAGGTATTTTAACAGGCCCCACACAGACAGTGCGAGAAACACACTGAGCTTCTCTATAGCACGAGAGACTGATATGGCAGCAAACAAACAAAAATATTCCTAAATGACATATGAAGGCACCATGACACGCATACATGAGACAACGTGTGTATGTGCAAGATACCTTGATGTGTGCAAGGCACCGTGATGTGTGTATATGCAAGGCACTGTGACTTGTGTGTGCAAGTCTCTGGTGTTTATGTGTGCTATGTGTACTATGTTATGTGCATTATGTGTACTATGACATGTGTGCAGGCACTATGATGTGTGTACGTCAAGGTAGCATGACATGTGTGTGTGCAAGGCTAAGCCAGAAAGAGGAAGTGGGGCTGGATATGTAATTCAGCATTTGCCTAGCAGGTTGAGGCCCTGGGTTCCATCCCCAGTGCTAAAAAAAGAAAATAGGGACAGTTTCTTCAGTTTTTGAAGTCCGAAATAGGTTTTGACAAATGTCAGAAACAACATGTGTCCAGTGAATCACAAATTGGTTTTCTTGTGGTATAAAACAGAAGAAGGAATGGTAGGAGGTAGGTTTGAAAGATTCCAGGGTTCTGGTCAGGGGGAGTCTTGAATATCATCGTTAGGTGTTTGGTGAGGTATTGATAAACAATGATAGGTCACCTCCTTGTTGTATGAACACAGAACAAGTTATCTAACTTCTCAGGTCCTAAATTACAAAATGAAGAAAATATTGTATTCCTCCCAAAGGCAGAACAGTAAACTAATATTTACTGTGTCCCTGCCTGTCCTGCCAGGAGCGTTCTGGATACATGGCAGAAGCTGGACATAGAAGTGGACAGAACTGTGGCCTGGAATTAAAAATGGACCAGTGTTTGTCTCTATTCAAGTCAAGTATGTGAATTAGAGATGGGAAAAATGTGAAGTCCAAAGAATCAAAAGGACAATAAATCCAGGATCTGAAGAAAACCCTAAGTCAGAGAGAATTTGTGGATAACAGAACAAGCAGTTTGGGACAAAATGGTCAAATTATACAAGCACATTTGCATGCCCACAGAACACACACAAAACATGTAAACTGAGCAAGCAGAAGCCCAGTCCACACACAGGAAATGTGTGCTGCTGGTGTTTCATGCATTCATGTGAGATGAGTGTCGACAAGTTATCTCCATTTTGTTTTGTTTCACATATCTAAGGTTTAATTCTACCAAGTAAGAACTCTCTCTTACATTACTACTACAAAACCTTTCCATCCAGGAAATCAATCTTGATACAACACTATGCTCCCACACAACACCACCTTTCCGTACAACACAACCATATGGTACGTAATCCCGTTCTATACAATACACCCATTCAATGCTACCATCAGGTACAACGCCACTGGCTGCTGCACAGACTCCCTTCATCTTTCACCAAATGTTCCCACAATGCCCCTCACTCATTTATGCCCAGGACCTACCAAGGAGCAAGTGCTGCATTCAGGTTTCATATCTCATCAGTCTTCTTGGATCTGGGATGACCCATCAATCTTTCCTTTGGCTTTTATACCCTTGACAGTTGGAATGAGTACAGCCTTTCAACCTGGTTCATATATCAGTGCCCAAACTACACAGATTCAGTGTTGCACTCCTGTTAGTATGATGCTGGAGATACACTGTTCTGATACCACCCTCATTACTTGGTGAAGTTGGTGTGTGACAGTCTTCTCTGCCAAAGTCACCATTTTTCTAACTGTATTTGATTTGTATTTTCGTAGGGACATATTCCAAAATTACAGCACTATTCTATTCCTTATCAAACCTTCCCCACTGACCTTCAGTCATTATCAACTCCTTTCTGCATTTGCCACCATTACAGTGGCTGCAAACGGCCATAAGCTATGTTTATCATTGTAAATTGGTGTCCTACTGAAAGTGAGCACTTTGCTTTTACTCCAATTAATTATTTAGCTAACTCCTATCAGTATTTATTCCTAAATTCCTGTTTTTTAAAATGTATTTTATAATTATCATTGTTAATTTAATGCTTAAATTGCCCTTGAGTCATGGGAGTCCCTCTGGGCAGGCCCCCATGGCTTGTTCCCATCATCCATTAAGCTTTGCCCTCCTTTCTGATGCAGTAAGCCCATCTTCTACTTCTCTGTTGCCAGCTTTCCTCTCTCTGGGCAATCAAAGGGGGCAGTGGGATTGTTGGTCCTGGATCCTCTTACTTGACACAGATAGAAAAATCTGTATTTATCTCCATATACTCATGTGTATTCCTAACTGTTTCCATAACTTTCTGGGTACATGTTCTTTAAAAACCAGTTCGTCATTCTGATCATTTCAACTCCATCGTAACACCTCAGGATTCCTCCTTGCCTCTGCCTTGCAACACTCCAGTAGTGAGAACCCTGCCTCCCTTTATATAGATAGATATGGGGTGTGTGTGTGTGTGTGTGTGTGTGTGTGTGTGTGTGTGTGTGCTGCAGTACTTGGGTTTGAACTCAGGGACTTGCACTTGCTACACAGGCATTCTGCCACCTGAGCCACAGGCCCAGCCCTCCCATTATCTTTACAAGCTAAATCAGTTATTTTATTTTAAATGTAACTAATTTCCAAATCACCATAGCTGCCTCATTCACCTTCCACTTCCGTGACCAGTGGCTAACACCTCCAGGGGACACCTATTCCCTCAAACTGGGCTTCTGCTGGGGCCATGCATGTCGCTGCAGCCAGCAATCCAAGGTGCCATGTGGTGTCCCTGACATACACACATTGCGGATACAAATATCTAAATGTCTAAATGCCTGAGGGGAGAGGGAAGAAAAGAAAAAGTGGAAAGACAGGGAGAGACAGGAAGGATCTGCACAGGTTCTTGGTGTAAGTCAGCTGAAGAGAGTAGATGGCAAAAGTCGAGAACACAAGCAGGTCAGCCCAGGTGTTCACAGAGTCTCTGTCATCCACAGTGTTGTAGGCTCTGAGGTCAATTTTATCATGCAGTATTTTCGGCTTCCCCCATTTTGTGAGGTGTATTGAATGCAGTTCTGCTGAACCAAGTTTCAAAGATAAG